AAAAGACCAGAACACATCCTCTCCAGCAGCCAACACCCAGATAAGCAGGGATTAATACCAGACAAACAACCAAGCAGGAAATGATACCCTAATCAAGGAACCACCAAGGAGAAAGCCACCTCCCCACCAACACTGGCAGGGCAGGCCAATGTATATAAACAGGGAGCAAACCCCACACTCACTAGCATTGATGATGTTAACATCTCCAAGCAAACAACCAAGCTCAGAGAGCACCAAGGACTGCACAGTTCAACCCTGAGCTAGATATATTGTCTTCAACTGGAACTGATGGTTTAAGTGTGTCTTTAATTTGTATGTTTCTGTAGTACTTAGATCACTGAATGTAATGTGAAGAAGAGTTTAATTCAGGTTTTAACTTCTGTCTAATCTAAAGCACTTCTAGATCTATGGAAATTGGAATGGAACGTATTGCATTGCCAATTCTGCTTTCTTCAAGGGGGATAAGCCTTTTCAATTTGCAGTGGGACACGAGGAATACTGCTGAAAGTAATCTAATTTTCATCTGAAGCTTGATGATCCCTTTTCAGTCTCCAGGAAACAAGTAATCAGCCCTGGATGCTCTTCTGCCTTCCTTTCTGTCTGAGCAATGTGTTGAGGAACAATCGTCACCTCAAGTGTTGCACAGACAGAGCTCCCTTTCTGTCACAAACTGTTTTGTACTGAGAAATCACAACTACCTATTGTGTTCTCAGTGCCATTACAGACTGTAATGCTGTGTCATCCAGCTGGAGATGATGGTGCCATCGTCCCTTGGGGTCTGTAGTAAACTTCACGGTCATTTGGTTAGTAAGCTGGCGATGCTGGAATTCCTTCATTAACTGAAGGAAATTGGTGGCCTCACCATAAAAAGTAATTGGCAGCTGCAGCAGCCTCAACATTGGTTCCACTGTCTATTTTTAGCTTGGAAAATTAAAAAAAAAAGTAATCTACTTCCCAGTTTACATATTATGGGGAGCCAAACCAATAACATTTGAAAATTTCAGAAGGGCTTTGGTTTTTTAGCAGCAGGAGGTGCTCTTGCTTTGCAAAATAACAGTGCAGAGTTACAGCAGGTAAACCCCTGAACCTTTTGAGGCAACTCCTCCTGGGCTGATGCAGGATCCTGTCCAAGATCAAGATCTTTCCCATCAGACAAGCTACAACCCCCGCTTAGAGCTCCAATTGTCCCTTCATCAAATAAAAAAAAAAATTGCTCTCTTTACCTCTTCCTTCACTCTCCTCTTCCTCTCATCAGGATATTAAAGTAACTATAGCCAGGGCAAAGCATGGGAGATTCTTGTTTGGTTCCCCCCTTTAAAACGATGGGTCAATTTAAGCTCAACTTTAGGGACATCAAAAGAGGAGATTTGCAAACTGTAAGGAAGAGAGTATGGAGCAGTATTTTTCAACCTACTGGACTTTAAGATGGATGGA